TTACTATTATCAATTTGGAAGCAATTTGAAGGTAAGATGGTCCTGCCGTTGAAATTTCAAAGTAATAACGCAAGTTTTGCGAGTTCGGTACCCACCTTGTAATCAAGTTTAAAAATTTGGCTTTAAAAGCGAAAATAATTAAAATTTTTAAAATTTGTTTTCAAAATTTGTAAAACGTGTGATGACGAAAGAACAAAAAATAATATTTTTTTAAAGATTACAGAAAAGATCGCTGGATATTAAGAAATGGTGTCAGCACCATCAATACATCGGAACCTAGCTTAGCTTCTTCTGCCTCTGGTGAGATTCTCGACTAACCCAATAATGGAAATTTCCGTGGGACCCTGGAACTAATAGCTCAGAAAGACCCCCGGACATATCAAAATATACAGGAATAAGGAACGAGGGTACGTGAATTATTTATCAACAACCTGCGAGGAAATAACAACTTTGAGGGGTGAGAAAATACGGACAGAAATAATAAGCCGGATTAAAAAGACAAAATATTCGTACTATTCCATCTCTGTTCATAAACGAGACTGCTGGGGTCAGTCGTTTAATACTGCATGCAACATGAGCGGCAAGTACAAAGTATTTCAGGTGAGAATTTCAAAAGAAAACATGTGGGAAAAAGTCAATAATTAACGATACTGTTAAAATGAAAATATATATATTTTTTTTTCAATAAATCGTATGTAATTATTAACTCAAAAAGGGCCCCAACTTATATAACCGCCTCGGGTCCCCACATTCTTAATCCGGCCCTGAGTAAATCATAGAAGCAACATTGGTTTATATGGAATATGCATATGTATGTATACTTGCAAGGTGTTGCAAAGTATAGAAAGTCGACTCAGGCCAAAGTGGTGGAACCGAGAGCGAAGACTACGTACAACTTCTGGTAAAAAGACTCCTGCGATATCGGATGGAAAAAATGGCATGCAATGATGCTGCCAGCAGGATTATCGGGTAGTCAAGTTCACATAGGAGTTGTTTCCTATTTTCGGCTGGTCTGTCCGCTCGTCGGGCCTAGCCTGATAAAGAATTTGTTCGAAAACTTGTTTCAATGTATGTACAAAGATAATTCGTCTACGATTTCAGTCAACGGCAAGCTTATCAAAACACTGTAAAGATGGAAAGATATACAATAGACAGGGAACGAAATTGTAGATCTTTATATGAAAGCATATATGTAATACTTCTATATTGGCAGTAAGCTAACTTCTCAATGT